AAAAAAAAAAAAAAAAAAAAAAAAAAAAAAAAAAAAAAAAAAAAATAGAAACTTTGTTGATAATTGTTTTATTTACCAAATACTATAAAAAGCGCTATATTTACTATTCATATTATGTATTCTGGGCAATTTTGTAATTTCTCTTCTATAAATATATAAAATTTAATAATTCAATATTCCAAGCATAATTGGAACAATAAACGGAAGCGATAATATAAAAAATACGAGAAGGGAAATAGAAATGAATGAAAATTAGAAAAATTAGATCTCGTAGATGCTCTATTTAAGAATCAACAAAAATGAATAATCCTACAATAGTGAAATAATAAATTCTTAAATAATTGAAAAATAGTGACGAATAATAAATAATAAATAAATTACATTGAAGATTAATTATCAAAAATTTCAGATATAACTTCTCAAATTAGTCTAAAGTTAGAATTCCCCAGCTAACATACATAGATTGCGGATTTTTATGAATTTATTGGAAATTTAAAGATACAAAAACGTACGTAATACGTGAAAATATTTAAATATTGAAAATTATAAGTGATGTAGCCAGAAAGTAAGTCTACGTTGTAAGAGCAAGTCCAAAAGAAAAAATAGAATTTTTTCATTTGAGAAACTGGAGTTTGAAAATTTATTAACTATACTTGAATTTGACTAAGTAATCTCTAGACTAAGTAATTGACAAGAGGTTACTCTGTCTGCAAAAGTAAATAAAAAATGTAGAATAAAATGTTTCCATTTAAGACTGCGTTTTATAGAAAACAAACTTTAAACGTCTTTAATTAAAAATTAGTAGATATGTATAATTGATGATAAATATTTGAAATTGAATTTTCTTAAAAACGAAGGGTATTATAAAAAGATTGCATTGTTCTTGACTTATTTTCATAGATGAAACAACCTTCTGTTAATTGCTCATTTCTGACCAATCCAGAATTAACTAAATTTACATATATTTTTTTTCAAACTCAAACATGAATTTCTCGAATACGAAGAAATTTTACTCCTTTTCGACTTATTTTTTCATGTAAAATCACTCTGCATAACATCTATTATAATATTTAATATATAAAACAAGACTTCTGCCTAGATTCTATTTTTTAAATTATTTTCACAAAAATATGAATTTTCATAAAAAGTCTAAGCATAATAAATGATGATTTCTCTTTTAGAGGAATTAATACAAACTAGAACTTCCACAGAAAGTTTCTTTCCAATTTTACTACAGACAGCTTAAACCTGTTTAATTCGAGTTTCATTACGTTTATTATGTCTCTCGACAAGAAAGCATTCAATTAAACAGTGGTATCAGACATAATGGTAATTGTTCAAGAAGTCTGTTTGGTAACTTGGTCCTTAAAGTATCCTGAATTAAATTCTAATTTCTCTAAAAGTGCAGCGTTCCCTTTCACATTTGAAAGCCTTCCTCTCTGTTTAACGTGTCTTGAAAATAAGACTTTTGTAGCACACATCATCATATCGTGAAAGGCACGCACAAAATTTTTAGGTTAAGTTTGAAAAATATTCTGTCATCGAGCCTCGGAAATTTTCGATGCGGAGATCTAGGGAAACTTTCAATCATCAATCACATAATTTCCTTTTTTTATGAAAAATATTTTAGTGGTCAAAAAAAAAAAATATATATATATATATGTAAAACTAGCAACGAACCTTATCACCGAAGGTGAGGTTATTTAATTTCCATTATTTTATAGGAAAACTATTCAAAGCAATTGTTTCTTGCGTTATAAAAATAAACAAACCCATATCAATTGTTATACTATTATCTC